AATCAACTCCTTTAAAAAATATTATTTATACAGTATCTATGCTACTCGACTCTCTAATGGGGAGTACAGATAAATGGATTTTATTAGTTCAGGTCCTTAATTAATTCCTAGGGGGCTGACAATAAAAAGAAATGGGAAAACAAATCCAAGAAAAATACAAAACACAAAGAAATCACAAGCAACCCCAAAGATAAACATGGAAACAAACCAGAAAAAGTGTCACAGAGCACAAAAGATAGACAAGATTACATCCAGGAACATTTTAAGTCTTTGATTATCACCAATTTAGTAAAGAGAAAACTTCTTAACTGAATGATTCCAGAAACAGCCTTGGTGTTAGCTACTGCTATTTGATCATCTTGTCCATAAATAAATGCTTACAGTCAGGACTTGAGGGATAACCCTGATCCCAATTTCAAATATAGGTAGACCTCAACTTTCAACCATTCGTTTAGAAAGCATTCAAACTTACATTGGCACTGGGCAAAATGATTTGTGAACAGTCCTCACACTTACAACCATTGTGAAGATTCCTGGGATCACGTGATCACAATTTTTGACCTTCCGAGCTGACTTCCAATAAGCGATGGGGAAAGCTGGGTCCACTAACTACTCTGTGAGTCAGTTAACTCCAAGGGGCAATTCAATGAACAACCATGGCAGAAAAGTTGTGAAATCAAACATGACTCACTTAACAATGGAGCTCCTGGTCCCCATTGTGGCCATACGTCTAAGGGCTGCCTGCAGTGTTTCTAGTTACCTATGTTCTATGGCTTCTTTACACTTTCATTCCTTCTTGGTCTGTTTTGGGGCAGAAGCTGTTCTTTCAGATCTACATGCCATAAATTATGCTGAATCCTCCTTCTTCTTTCTCTGTATCTTTTGTTTGATGCTGTTACCAAAATTCCTGATGGTACCGTTTGAAAATATGAGCAGGTGCTTTCAAACCAGGCTTCTGACCTAATGTTGCTGTTAGACAAATCTTTTTTTACAAGAAACAATACAAAGAATTGCATAACTTCCTCCATTTTAATCTTGGAACCCAAAGAAAAACAGCATTTTCTGCCCTGTCTCTACCATTTTTGCAAGTAGTTACTAAAGCTGAAGAAATGAGAAAACAGCAAAAATCCTGCTAGGTAGGAACAGGCCAGCGCCAAGTAAGAACAAATATGCAATATGGATTTGAAGGCATATTATTTGCAAAGGTTGCAATTCATTTTTTTTTCTTTTCAAGTTTACACAGGGTTATCATCTAGCCACATGGTGCATTTAAATGTCCTGCTTCCTTTTTTCTTGCTCTCCTTTTACCCGTTACAGTGTCCAATTGCTCCATCATTTCCCTGTTCCGGGTAAGCAACATGGTACTAAAGCAATCCTAAATGATGAGGAACATGCCATAACAGGTGGGCTGGACCTATGCAGCGTGGCAGAAAAAAAATGGCATTGGTTCTACTATACTGAAATAAATAAACACTGGAATCTTTTAAACACAAGTTGCAGAGAAGTAAACAGAATTTTTTTTGTGAGTAAAGTTTCATCACAGCCAAACCCCTCAAAATTACAGAAGCTAAGCAATTGGAGGGAAGAAAAACAAATTGCAGGAAAAACAAATCAGCAAGAAAATGAATGGAGAAATTGCAATGCAGATTGCCTTATGTGAAACAGATCTTTATACAAGTCAAATGTATCTGATGTTAAGTATTGCTAAAAATAGTTTATGATGCTGACAGCTTAAGCTAAAGTTTTCCTATCACTTGCTCTGTTCATATTAAGTGCATTAATTTGAGCACGTCGCCCAGGAAGTGTCTTGTAGTAGTGCAATGTCAATAAAATTATCTAAAATTTCGTCCTGATTTGAGACTTCACCAGCTTCCAGAGGCCTCAGATTGGCTAATATGGGTACAAAACGCTGAACGAATCCAGGATGACTTTATCTATAGTCTACTTACAAACTATTGAGTTACAAACTTTGACCAATACAAACAAACTTGTTCACGACTCCAAGCTTAGAAGGTCCCAGAATCGAGGAAAAGGTTACTTTATGTGCACAAAACAGGAACTTGTGAACAAAATAGACTTATAGATGCTCAGCACATAACCTATTTGTAAGCAGAGCACTGTCTGTACACTACTAAATCTCTTGTGTCTGTTTGATTGTTTGTAACCTTCAACTGGATGAAACGGTACAGCCTAGGGCAGTGGTGGCTAACCTTTTGGGGCTCCTGTGCCAAAAATTGTGCACATGCTTGCACGATCACACTCGTGTGCCAGCACCCAGAAGGCTATGCGTGCCCCCCATGCCCCCTACGCATGTGCGCGCAATCCCCCCACCCGTTGCTGCCCCCTTACCTGCACTGCACCTCAGTTCATTTTCGGCTGGTTTGAGGCCTTCTTTGACCTCCCAGAGGCTTGAGGAAGGCTTCTGCAGGCCGAAAACTAGGCCCATTTTGTCACTTCCGGTATTTCTGGAAAAACAGGAAGTGATGAAACGGGCCTAGTTTTCGGCCTGCAAAGCCTGCAGAAGCCTTCCCCAAGCCCCTAGGAGGCTGAAAAAGGCCTCAAACCAGCCGAAAATCAGCTGTGAAGCGCACGCATGTGAGGTAAGTTTGCCTGCAGCTCATGTACCGGCACAAATGGCTCTGCGTGCCATCTGCATCACAGTCCTAGCGCAACAATATTTGAATCAACCTACTTCAAGGCCTCACTTACAGCAGGGCCCCCAATCCCTGGACTTTGTCCCACTATGAGGCCTTGAGCCTTGTGGTACCAGGCCATGAAAGTGATGGGCGAGCACACATGCATCCCCACTCACATGAGCAGCAGGAAAGCCTGCGGGCTTGACCGCCGCTCTTGTGGAACCATCCCCTCTGCCTCCACCTGTCTGCAAAGTCAAAAAGATTGGGGAACTCTGACTTATAGAATGTGTCCAAAATTTGGAACCATGACCCCTGAGGGACTGAAATCTGACAAAGTTGTGGCCACTTCAGAGTTGGCATGGTCAGCCGTAGTCAAGTAATAATCATTTCCAATGCTTTCTGCCAGCTTTCTACAAGGAAAGTCTATGGGGAAGTTGGTAGGAAGTTGGAGATTGCTCCCATTCTCCCTGCTTTTTTGCCTGCCTCTGGTTATTGTTTTTCTGTTTAGGTATTAGGTATTTAAATATCTCTGAAATGGTGACCCAACTGTTCACAGGTTGTCTAATCAACTTTAAACCAATCTTTAAAACAACTTTAAAGGTTAAATCAATCTCCCTCAATTGGTGCTCAGTGAATGTATTGGAATTATAGCAATTAACTCATCTGGAAGGAAGCAAATTGTAGAAGACAATTTGAATGTTTTTGGAATTTAGATAAAGGCTATGAAGTCTATCTTTATAAAATATATCTAATGCACAAAGGAAATATGGGATTGGTGAATGTCTCCCACCCAGCACACATTCCCCAAAATTCAAGAATTTGTGCTTGTTCATTTGATTTCAAGTCACTTAACTCCAGAACTGTTCTGGGTGTATACACCTCCACGGATACGAGTTTCCGGTTTGTCGGCTTCGCGAGCGGCAGGGATTTGCGAAGCTGCGCAATCCCTACCGCGCTAGCCGTTTTTGGGGCTCCGACCCAGACGGGTACGGAGCTAGGCTGCCCTGCAGGGGCAGCTGAAGGTAGGGGGGATCCGGAGAAGGGTTTGGGGGTGTTGCAGACCCCCTCCCCGGCCGGCAGAACCCCCTTTTCCCAGGACGGTGCAGCGGCGGTCCGTAATGGCCGCCACAAAGAAGCTGGCAGCCGGGTAAGAATGCGCAGGAGGAAGTGGAGAAAGTGCTTGAGAGGAGAAAGTCTTTCTTGGTTCCTAGGACTCTAAGACATATTTAACAAAATTCCTGAAAAGTATGACTTTCTGAATGATACCTTCGAGAAGAGGAAAAAAGTGGCAGTTTAATGGTGCTGAAAGGATAGCTTACCCTCTTTTTTTACGGAATAAAAAACTGGTTTTGATTATTTGGTATTTGTTCTCATAAGACCATGAAGGAATAAGTATAAGAACAACCACCTCCACCTCCTATGGCACTTGAAGCAATCTAACTGAATGTGAGATGGCAACAGTGATAGCATTTAAGACTTATATACCACTTCACAGTGCTTTACAGCCTTCTCTAATAGGTTTACAGAATCAGCATATTGCCCCCAACAATCAGGATCCTCATTTTATTGACCTCGGAAGCCTGAGTCAACCTTCAGCAGGTCAGAATGGAACTCCTGGCTATGGGCAGAGTCAGCCTGCAATACTGCATTTAACCATTGCGTCACCACAGCTTAACATATTTTAATATATTAAAGGGTGGCAATATGAATTTGGGGAAGGGGGCTGAGTGAGACCTCTAGGCATTCCATACCTTCTCTCATTAGTGCAAAAGCAGAGCACTGAGTAGACAAAAAAAATTCCAAGGCTTATGATAGGAAAACAGGAGATGGGGGTGGTGGTGGTGGAGATTTTGGTAGCCAACATCTTGCAGGCATGTAAGCCTATAGGTACATACCAAGCCCGGGTGCTCTGATACAATTATAGCACTATGCGCAAAACAAAGGCTGAGTACCTAGATTATAATTTGAACAGCTTGTTGCAGGGATTATTTTCCCCATGAAATTCTCGCGTAGTTCAGTCTTCAATTACCCTTGGCAACTTGATTACACTGCTTAGAAATTAACAAGAGACGAAATCTCCACATCTGCATAAAGCATATCGAGACTTTCTACTCAATACCCAATACTAACAACCACTTAAAGGCAAATTAGAATATTCAAACTCATTTTCTAAAACAGACTCATACTTGTTATGAATAAGTGTTCTAGTATAGTTCATATACAAGGGCTATTGTTCAGATCCAATATAGCAAAGGAAGCCCGCCAAAGCATAACAAGAACACACCAGATACACTACAACTACTATCGCCATCCATGTGTCAAATTGTTTTTTTAATTTATTAGCATTTACATTTATTTCCTCACCTGTCCTCCATTATTTCTCTGACTGCAGCAATATTCGGGCCCGTTCCAAGGTGTGTATAATATGGACCTTCATCCTTCTCTATAATTTGTTCTGCAAAAAAAACAAAAGTTCTAAATAAGCTGTTAAAAATATTGCATGAACATTCAGAAACAGCACTTAAATTCCTTAAATCAAATGGAGTCTCTTTGGCAATAAACAAGTAGTCCTCTACTTATGACCATTCATTTGGAATGATGATGCTGAAAAAGGTGATTTATAACTGGTCTTCTGACTTATGACTGCTGCAACAACCACGTAGTCAAAATTTAGGCACTTGACAATATGCAGGTATTTATAGCAGTTGCACCTTCCGAGGGGACTCCTGAGAAGCCCAGTCAATTTGCTTAACAACTGTGGCAATTTGCTTAATAATGGCAGCAAAAAGGTCATAAAATTGGATGTGACTCACTTAATGACCGAATCACTTAGCAACAGAAGTTCCAGCCCAATTGTGGCCGTAAGTCAAGGACTTATCTGTAAAACACTTCTATTAGATAAAACTCATTATTATATAATTTTGGCATTGAAATGCCGGAATGGGATTAGCAACCGAGTCACACTTCAACATGAACGAAGAGACAGTACTAACACTATCAACATTGGTTATTAATTTAAAATTGGTAATACTGCCATATAATTCTGCAGGTAGTTGAATTTGTTACTTATCAAAAATACAGTTTTGATTCTTCCTTTCCCATTTAAAAATAAAATAAAATTAGACAGAGTATTATGTTGCCACTGGAATTCAATGTGTTGGCTAATAACATATAGTAAGAGACCTATGGATTAAGGCTTAACTTCAGCATTAATAAAAGCTGTTAGTCACAATTTCTGCATAATTCTGAACAAAATAAAACAATTCCTTTCATTGTAAGCTGTGGAAAAGAAAGAAATATAGTTGGGAATTTTACCAGCTGATTTCACAATTTGACAAAGCTCAACATTAACAACTTTTAAATTTGAAGAAAATTAAAGAAATCCAGATAGTCAAGAAGGTATCTGCGCAGAATCTGGATAAATGTAGAGGATCTTCTTGTTATGGAGTAAAAATCGTGAAATTTCGGCATGTATAAATATTTGCAAGTTTATGGGGATGTTCTGAGAAAAAGAAAGATTGTTAAAAGAAGAGAATATCTGTAGCTCAGGGTTGAACTATGGAGTTCTTGGTGCTCTCTGAGCCTTTTTTTTGCTTGCAGATATTTCATTACCTGACTAGGCAACATGACCCGTACAGACAGAAAAGATTTCAAAATTCAACCATGCAAAAATAAACCACAGGACACTTACCCACACAGTCACAGGTTGGAAAATTACTCTGTCCTTTCTTTGAAGGTGTATCAATTAAATTCTTTGTAGGGGTATCTAAGAATGTCATGGGAGATTCAAGAAAACTACTGAGTGTATTCTTTGTTGGAGAACACCTTAAGTTCCCAGTACCCTGTTGCTTTTCAGTCTCTAAAGTTCTTAATGTTGGAAATGTAGCTTCACTTACATGCTCCACATTTCTAAGAGTGTGCATGGTATCCCCTGGCAAGCCATCGCCACCATTATGAGAGATCAGTTGCAGATTTTGATCCTTTTGTTCCACAGTGTCCTGTGGTTTAGCTTGGCTTTCCTCGCAGATGTCACCATCAGCTCTCTGACTGAAGATCTGAGGAAAAGGATGCAGCTGAGGGATATTCATGGTTTGTTGTACCTGAGAATTCTTGCCTTTTTCTGTAAACATCTGCCCGTTTTCACTTGCTTGTTTTATGCAAAAGTCTGTTTTTAACTGAGGAACAGTCAGCAGATTACTAGAAAGCGGGGCTCCATGTTGAAGAGCCCCCGTGACCCCACTCTGGCTGCTGGCGCCTTGTGCATCGCTAAAGCCGGTTGTTTTGAGGGGCTCTGGCACCATTTCACAGCCTAATGGCTTGTTTCTTATTTTGCCTTGTATTGAAGCCGGTAAAGGCCGATGGAATATTATCTGAGTTTTGGGAAGAAATAATACAGCTGGTTTTTGCTGGGATGACAAAGCACTCCGATTCCGACCCTTCTGTCCTTTGGTTTTGGAAGTTTTTTTCCCCAAGGCTGACAGCTTTGCATCTTGTGACACAATGCGCCCAAGCCTGCGCAGTTTGGAAGGTTTTTTCTGTATGTCCTGCAATTCACTGTACTGGCATTCTTGTTGTAGCTGACTTGGTTGGTCTAGTGCTACTTGAGGTTTCTTCTTCAATCTTTTAGCCCTCGGCACTGATTTCTCATTCTTCCGAGGGGGCTGCCTTTGCTTGACTAACAAGGAGCTGTAATTGTTTCTCCCAAATACCGATTGTTTCTTCTGTAATAGGCACTGATCCTGCTTATTTTTGGATTGCATATCAGGTGGTAATCGACCGAGAAGGGTTGTCGTTGTCTTCGGATTGGGGCTGGTTCTGCTTGATTCAATTATTGCTGCGAGTTGAGTTAACTGGGTGGCTACCTCTTCTTCATCTTGGCTGTGAACCCCACCCTTAAATACAGAACTGCTTTTTAAATTCAGGTTGTGAACAGCCTTTCCTTCCCATTTGCCAAGCGTCTCTCCTCTGTTCCACCACTGTCTGACGGTACTTGAGTTTTTGGAACATGGCCCGAGAGCAGTTTTATGATGAAGAGGGCATTTCTTGGTAGCAATACCTGAATTTCCACCAGACACTAAAGCAGAGAAAGGTCTGGTGTCTTTTGAGGTGCAATGCAACCTACGCAGTAAGTTAGAGGGACCTGAAGATTTACCGGGGAACTCAGAAATAGCACCTTGAGCCTTGTGGAAAAGACCCTTAGGGTGGATTCTCCTCTGTGAGGCAGGATGAGGAAAAAGCTGATCTTTTTGTGGGCAAGTCCCTTTTATTACTTTCAGTGCAGATGATTTTAAGGGACATGGGCTATCCTTTTTGTAACTGTTCAGCAAATGCGACGTTTGCTGCTCTACACCTTCTGGTTTAGCTGGTGAAGAATGGCCTAAAGGGGCCTCTGACAAACGTGTTAATGCCTCAATAGCTACCACCTGTTCCACAGTTAAATTTCTATTTTTAATCAGAGATAAAAAAGTTGACTGAAGTTGCAAATCTTCAGGTTGGGAATCCTTACTAGGAATATTTGAAGCACCATCATCGAGACAAGCACCCTTTTCAAGCACTGGAGTACAGGGTGGCTTGTCCTGCAAATGTAAAAGTGAAATGGTTTGCAATAGCGAGTTTTCGGCTTCCTGAATGGCATTTGGGTTTTCTGTCTGGTGGCCTACAACACAGTCCTTCTTTTCTGGAATAGCACCATATGTTCCAGTTGCCAAAGGGTAGATGCTGTTCAGCTGAGCCGCTTCACTCCAGGAGGCACTGGAGTTACTGTGATTGCAGCTGTTGGCCAGCTTTGCAGTAGTATTCACATCTGCTTTTTTCAGTGTGCTCACATCTGATTTCAATGATGTGTCACATTCTGCTGGTGAATGCGGTAAGATTTTAATGCCATTTCTAGCTGTATGTGCAAATAACTTGGGGGCCTCATCTATTATGCTGGAAGAATAAACCAGTTTTGCGTCCTTTTCAAAATGTGTTAAGTTCTCATCCCTGGTTTCAGCGTTATAGACATCTCCATTCACATGGATGTTAAGTGATGGATTTTCATTCGGCACCCACTTCTCTGTTTCTAAGCCGGCCATACTTCCTTTTTCATTTGTCTGCACATCTTCCCAGGGCAGTGAGTAGTTTGCTTTCAACTTGTATTTTTCACCATGGCCATATGCAACATATTCCAGAAGCTCTGCTCTGCAGCCATTTACTAGTTTGCTTTTCAGATCTCCCTGCAAAACAGTACAAACACATTTTAACAAATGCTGTTCACCATGAGATTTCATAAACACTAGTAGTTCTCATGGACAATACAGTGCAGAGAAAGTGGCAATATCGTAAGAAAGTTTACAATGATTACCTGACTAGATGTATTTCAAAATAAGTGCTACCCAAGAGCAGATTCTAGAACAAGGTACCAACTGTTTCATCACTAATTTATACTAAAATCAATAGGTTGTACAAAAAGCAACCAAAATAATGATTACCAAAGATTTGTTTGCTTTGTATTTAAAAAGAGACAATACAATAACAATAATTTCAAATAAAAGAAAGAGATGTTTGGTCTAGTAGTTAAGGTACCAAGCTAGAAACTGGGAAACAGTGAACTCTAATCACTTTGAGTTATTTATTTTAAAAAAAATGTAAACATAGGAAATGAATGAATGAATGAACAAATAAATATACACTTGTCTTTTACTTTTTTTTCATGGAAAATGCTTAGCTAAATGTGTATCTTTAGGTTGACCTGGTAGCCCACAATCTGAGGAAAACAACAATTCGGAGACACCAAGTCAGAAAATGCAAAAAAAAAGACGGAATACTTATACTTAGTTCAAATACAAAACATTGCAGAAATGTTTTCAGAAGCAAGAATAAATCTTTTGAATTGAACCAAGAAGTTAGTAATTGACAGTTTGATGCTATGGGTTTTTATTTTTGTTTGCTACTTTTGCCAGTTATGAAAAGAAAAACCCTGAATTATGCTTCAAACAAGGACAAAGTAATCTTTGGCACACTGTATATTATCATGCTTCTATCTAAGTTGACCACAGAACAAAACTATTAGTAATATTAGACCAGACTAAAAGAATGAGAAGACATCCATGAACAGGAATTGAAGTTATACATTTTCTCTAGCTTTAAAATTCAAAGCCAAATAACTGAGGCATTTATCCTGACTACATAACAAAATTGTAGAATTACAGCTTCCCCAAATGAGCTGTTTGTCAGAATGAACTGGATGTATTATGTTAAGCTGCAACTATAAGTAACTCAAGCATGACCTCGGAAAGAATGCCATTTCATAAACTGGTAATGACCTGGCAACATTAAAATATTGGCTTACAGAATGTTTCTTTTGGTTTTCCATTTTATATGCCCTCAAAACCACAAGGGAAATGTGTGTGTGTGTGTGTGTCTGTGTGTGTATTCTGTATATTAAAATTTAATTCATAGAATTGTCTCACAGCAATTCAAGGTTTGTTTTTTATCATGGTATGCTAGGAAAAAGTGAAACTCACAACACCCTCTTTTTCCTAGCAGACCATGAAAAGAAGCAAACCTTGAATTGCTGTGAGACAGTTCTATGACAGTTCTATGAATTAAATTCTGCAGATTATGAAGAGTTAGTTATTTTGTAAGCACTTTGGGTCTGAGTGCCATCAGAATAAAAGTAACTGAAACTTCTGAGGCTAGTTTGAGTTGCAACATGCCAACTCTATGAATGAAAGCCAACAAGACCACCAAAAACCCCCAACATGTGTATATAGCAGGAGAGTCAGGGGTCAAAACTATTGTGCAGATGGCCCTAGATTCAGCTCCAATTCCTAATGCAACTCAGGTTAATAATCACTGAAACTATACCAGTTCTCTCAAAAAAGACTACATATTTGGCCCCATTAAAGTACCCTTTCAGTCTATAGTCTAGTGGTTGACTTCAATTTCTAGTAACTTCTGTCTGAGCATATCAACAATACTGTTAATGGAGTCATTCAGTTCGAAAGTTGATATTGTCTCAGGTCTAACCTGAACAGCTTCTGCAAGTGAAACAAGATTTGCAAGAAAGAAGACAAAAATCCCAAACAAACCATAATTCTACAATAATCCTGGTTTCTTGTTCCGTGAAAATTGGCCCAATGCATAAAACAGAGAAGGCTATACGACAGTAGTCAGGTAAAAAATTATGAGTATTCATTTTATATGCAACAGCTGCCTGGTCTGTATTATAAAAAGCATTGATGGCCATATTAGTGTTGTCCTCTACATGTGATGCATTTAATAATTCTCAAACAGGTTGGTCAACACATTTAGACAGATGAATTTAGAACAGCTAGCGAGAAAGCTTCATGTACAACATGTACAACTCAATCTCACTTTGATGATTAACAACTTTCAATATGCAAATGTTTGTATGCTTAACAGCTTTTAATTGTGTCTACTTTCAATATACAAATGTTTGTATGCTTAACAGCTTTTAATTGTGTCTACTTTCTTCAGCAGATAAGTATCTTCCTGAATTTCCAAATGAACACGTATTGTCCATTCACAGAAGGCAATAGAAAAGGTGGAGGTTTAACACAGATATAGTTTTTTAAAAACTCTCCAAATACCTTTCAAATTATTTATTACACCCGCCAGTGATATTAATGGTAATTAAAAGATAGATGAGAACTTTTCATCAGAAACTGTACCTAAATTCTGTAACAGCTATCATAGGAGAAGTGAAGTCCATAAAGTCCAGAGACCTTAAGAGAATAATAGGCTAGATATATAGACTACAGGGTATATAAGGTAAATGTAACTATAGACAGACACAATAGATACTGTGGATTTATAGAAATAAAATGTATATGTTAAGATATATAAAATGTATATTTGTCGATGCCGAACCATTGCCAAAACTGTATGAGATTTGTATTTGTGGAAAATATAATAAAAATCTATTTTTTTTAAAAAAAGAGAGAGATGAAGTCTAAACTAGAAAGCTAACTTTCTCAATCCAGGTAGAACTACTGTATTTTTTGGAGTATAAGGTACACTTTTTTCACCCACAAAAGTGGGTGGAAAGTCTGTGCATCTTATACAATGAATGTTGCTGAAGTGCCACCCCGCCCCCCTTTGGCCTCTGCCTCCCAGCAATTTTCCTTCTTGCAGCAAACAGCCTGTTTCAGCTTCAGCACAGCCTGAGTAGCATAAGCAGCTGATGGTCAATTGTGTCTCCCAGACGGATCAGTTGTTTCAGGCTGCAGGGATTGCCATTGCGTATTGCCGGCTCCGCTGGCCCCATTTTCAGCCATTTGCCACCCATTCCGATCCCTGCCGGACGGAATGGGCTGAAAACAGGGCGTGGGGAGGCTGAAAACGGGATGCGGAGACCAAAAATGGGGCGTATGGAGGCGGCAACAGGCTAGGGCCATCCCTGCAGCCTGAAACAGCTGATCATCCAGGAGGCAGATCCAACCAACAATCATGTCCTAATCAGGCTGTTGCAAAAGTGAAACAGGCTGTTTGCTGTTGGCTACAAAGAGGCAAACTGTTCGGAGGCAGAGGCAGATCTTTTTTTTCTTGTTTTCCTCCTCAAAAGCTAGGTGCTTCTTATACTTCGAAGTGTCTTATACTCTGAAAAATACAGTAGATAGAAGTGAATGCAAAATTATGTTATGCCTGGAATTTTGCAGGAAGCACCTGCAGTGGACATTTATTTTTACTGGAATAGGATTACTTATATGAAAATTTCCCATTTTCCCCCCCAGTAAAACTGTTGTAAAAAGTGTTCATGTGACTGCAGGATGTGACAAATGGCTGTAAATGCAGCCTGGCTGCTGTGTGCCCAAAGTGTGGTCACATGACCATGAACACCATCAGAACTTTGAATCCATTTTGTAAGTACCCCCAGGGAGATTCCGTTGTAACTTTGAATGGTCGCTAAGCAAGCAGCTGTAAATCGATGACTAACTATACATAGAAAAGTAAACCTACTTCCCCTTTTAAAACATTATTAGGTCCCACAGTTAAAGCTCTGGCCCACAAACATATCATTTCTAACACGGACTTCTGTAAACTTCTCTCTTCTTCAGTTGTCATCTTGGTCCCCTTCTTATCAAACATCCCTTTAAAACCCTAAGCTAGCTTTCTGTCCACTCCTGGATGCAAAACCCACCCCTGGTCTTATCATCAACCCTTCTCATGATCTTGAAGAATGTTTATTTCAGAACAGAACACAACAACAGAGTTGGAAGGGATCTTATAAGGTCATCTAGTCCAACGCCCAGGCCAAGCAGGAGACCCGGGTTGGTGAACCTATGCCACGCGTGCCGGAAGTGGCATGCAGAGCCATTTCTTCTGGCACGTGAGAGGTCACCAGGAAGAGCCCCACTGCGCATGTCGGGTATCTGGCGCACATATGCAGGGGGGAAGAGGGGGCGTGCATGGGAGACGTGTGTGCATGCGCAGGGACATGCTGTGCACGAGGAGGGAATCGTGCACACATGTGCAGACATGAGGCCCGCAATATCCTCTCATGCACGCATGCGCAAAGACGAGGGGGAATCACGCATGCATGCAGAAAGATGTGCGGTGCATGAGGGAGGTGTGTGCACATCCACAGACGCACAGCGCACGAGGGGAGGTTGCACACACATGAAGGGGCCAGCATACATTGCCTTCTGGATGCTGGTATGCCAGCACGCGAGTGTAAGCAAGCAAGCGCAAAATTCTCTTTCAACCCATAATATGGGCTTGGGCAACAAGCCTGCTGTTACAACCAATGCAACAATAGTCAACTGATCTGAAAAAAGTGAATTCTGTACTTGTTGGAAAATGCAAGGATGAAAAAAAAAATCTTATCTATGTTGTATTTTTGCCCTTGCCAGTACTTTCTTTTCCACAAATTAAATTTCACAAATAGTATGTCTTCAATATGATTAGTATATTATTAAATTGTTCTCATTCTGCTTATATAGGCATATCCCATACTTTAAAATACCATTAATACAAGAAGAAAATTAGAGTCAGAATATCCCAGCATTTCTTTAAACAGTTCTGGCTTTTGCTCGTATATTGCTTGTATTTATGGACCTCAAAATAGGGCATGCAGGATTTTTTTTCCTCAAATTTGTTTGGCAAAGAAAGAAATGGAGAATTAAATATAAATTATTGCAAGATGCTAAATAAAGAAGGCAGGATTACCATATTTGAAATTGTACTTGGCAGATTGTTGTTTAGTGTAGAT